GTAATCACTCTAAATCTTAAACTTCTGTACAGTACTAAGAAGATATTAATGTTACTCCTCTAAGGAACAGACAATTGTAAAGAGTTCCTTATTATAGATAGGGTAGTTCTGTTCTATTACAGAGAGGGATTCTGATTAGAACACTATCAGACACTACTTTCTGTCAATAAACTAGAACAGTACTACTCTATTTACAAAGTTGGAAGAGTTAGCTTTGACTCAGAACTTGTTTACAACTGTTAGAACTATTAATACAGGCTTACTAGTAATAGCCTACTTGAGGGACTCAAACACAGACTATTACTAATCATCCTATTACTAAGGAACATCTTTGCTAGTAAGATTGTGAAGAGGCTAGACAATAGTACTAAAGTCTTAAATGAAGTATTAGTAGTAGTTTACAAACCTAAGGAATACTTAGACCTGTTTCAGATTCTAAGGTTGTAACTAGTTCCAAACTATAGTTACCTTTGCTGGATCCATACAGACCTCTCCTCTACTAATTACAAAGTCTAGATAATCTACTGACTCCTGTATAAAAGAGTACTTTACTTCTCAGAGGAATAGTTTATTATCTTAGAGCTATTATAGAACTGCTCAGATTAGTTAGTAATAGTACTTAACTGTTTAGGTAAAGATCAGAATGTTGTCTAGATACACACTAACATACTCTGAGTCAATCAGATCTGTAAGAATGTAATTTATAAATGACTAGAATGTTGTAAGCAAGTTAGTTAGTCTAAAGAACATTATAGTTGGTTTGTACAATCTGTAATTGGTTTAGAATGTAGTCTTCTACTCATCTCTGTCTTGGATCCAAATATTATTGTATTCCTATCAAACATTTAACTTAGTGAAAACCCTAAATGTATGTGTCTTATTAATAAGCTCCTAAATTAGAGGAAGTAGATACTTGTTTTTAACAGTACTCTTATTAAGACAATAATAATCCTGGACTGGGTGGAGCTTCCTATCTTTCTTTTTGACAAAGAAGAAAGGGGAGACTATAGAGGACTTTAAGAGTCAGATCTGACTGTTCTGAAAATTTTCCTGAAGGAACTTGTTAAGCACCTCCTACTTGTCTCTGTTAAGTAGGTAGACCTTATAATCCTTAGGTTGAAAACCCTTAGTCAATTCAATTGTATAGTTCTAGAGACAGTGTTTAGGAAGCTAGTCAAATTCCTCTTTACTAAAGACTTTGAGGAACTCTTGAATAAAATCTAGTAGGCTGAGTCTATATACATTCTAGAGTAGAGTTGTTTTAAGAGGGTTCCAGACTGGTTCTGTCTCAGACATCTTTCAGATTGACTCTGTTCTGTCTTGACTAGAATATGTATCCACATATCTATCCTAGTTGAAGAAGAACAACTGGTCACCTTTATCAGAACTGTTAGTAACATTAGAAGTGTCTGTATCTACTTAGAACAATAGTATAAGATAGTTGTAAGACTCAGAACACTGATTAAACACAAGTGTCTACTCTAACTAGTCAATAGTAGGGTTGTAAGCCTTAAGCCATTTGAATCTGATGAAGACATCTGTCTTTCTAAGGTTGGTGACTCTAAACTTAATACTTTCCTTATAATCCTAAATAGTCATCTGTAGTTAGACAAACTTAGTAATTCAACTATTCTGGTTTAGAGTTCTGTCCACATTATATACTAGGATTGGAAGTAGAATGTGTTAAGTAGGAAAGTAGTGTTCCTATACAAAAGCCTTATTAATGTACAAACTAGTATATCTACTGTCTACTAGAGTTATTGTTCAGATCTGGAGGGATTCTAAGAAGGGAGCTAAGAGGATAGGGACTTAGAGCTAGTGTCTAGAATGTTCTCAGATAAACTACTACTTGTTCTAAAGGGAACATACAGTTTGTACAGCTTTGTTGTCTAAGAGGGTGAGTATATGTACTAACATTTCCTTATTAACCTCTCTCTTTCAACAAGGACAGACTCATGTCCTTAACTGTAAACTCAGCTGAGACTATCCCTACTTAATACTATAGACAAACTACTGAGTAGTAAATAGGGCTAGATAGTGTTTTGAATGTTCTAAGATCTTAGAACACAGAAGTAGTAAGTCAGATTGTATAGATTTAGACTTGGATAAAGTGTAAAGAGAAGAATCAAAAGAATCAGAAGAAATAGGAGAACTATCTACTTTTGTTTTCAACTTTTTTCTTTCTAATAAATAATTTTGTTAATTTATTTTTTCTACTTTTTCTACTTTTTCTTACTTTTCTTACTTTATTTACTTTTAATTCCTTA